TTTTTTTTTTTTTTTTTTTTTTTTTTTTTTTTTTTTTTTTGTATCCCTTACATGTGGCCAACTGCAGAACAAACCTTAATTTTTTTATTTTTTTTTGTGGAAGATATAACCTATTATAACTAAAAATTGCGTTATGGTATATTCAAATGTCTGTTCTAAAACTCTCCTTTTGGAAAGAACATATCTTGATTGGTGGCCTTTTCTCTTTGTTGGCTAAAGAGAAACAGAAGGAATTACCCTCCCTCACTCTAGCACTTCAAATGAAGCCATCCATTGACAAAGAGACAGAGCTGAAATTCCCTGGAGCTACATTTATAGTATTGATGGCTGCATAACATAGCACAGTGGTCATGAAACATGAAACAGCTCCTTAAGAAAAGCCTTACTCAACCCCAGAGCTCCCAGAAAATGGGCTCTTTGTGTTATTATTCCAATAAGGTGTGATTTAAGTGTCCTGGAAAGTGTCACCAAATTGCAAATGATGGGAAATGTGCATTTGCACCCTACATGGAGCAAGCTTTTGCTAATTGAGAGAGTGTAAAACTGATGCTCTCCTCCTGGTTAGAGGTGTGAAGCAGAGTTGCGATGATGCTTCTGTTTCCTATGTTGTCTTTAGAAATAATCCAAAATGCATTGGGGTGAAAGTGAGGACCAAAAACAAGAGATTAAATTAGTTTTTTATTACTGTTTAAGTCATTAAGTCAGTCAAGGAGTACATTACAAAGCCTAGAAAAAAGCAGTACAGGGGTGGCAGGTGATCACCGGTCCTGGAAAACATGAACAGTGAACATGAACAGTAACATCTGGTGGAAGGTGGCAAAATGAACAGAAATACAGAGAGAACTTCCTTGGGGAAAAAAATCAGTGCTTCAGGTTGTAACAGTGTTTATTTAACATCAAACACATTTGACCATTACACATTGTGATCAAAAATATTTAAATCATATATTCCGATCAAGCCTTTTCTAAAAAATCTAAACAATAATTCTTACAGCACCTTGCAGAAGTAATCTACCCCTGAAAATTGTTTTACTTTTTTTTTTTTTCAAATTACAGCCTCATATCTAAAAGGTGAGACCAACACAAAGCAGTCCATAGTTGTAATGTGTAAATAAAGGTTCTTAAAAGGTTTCGCAGTCAGCACTGTGACAGTGTTGGCATTCTTGCATGGGCCGTTCAAACAGACAAAACATTTGAGTAATCAAATAACTTAAATGATTCATTAACTGAATCATTCCTTTTTCAGATGGGTGTTGAACCTTCCTGTTTTGTGGCCCAGAGTGACACAGAACCACTTCAAGCACAGTACCAGGTGAAAAACCACTTCTAAGATCCAATCCTCTGTGATAATAAACTCTGGAGAGGTTTAAAGAAGCTTACATTATAAATTTGTCTACATCAAGACTTGAGAAATTAGTCTTCCCCAGAAGTCCATCCAGGATGCCTGGGGCTGAGTTATTTTGCAGAAAACAATGGACATTTTAGAATCTAGATCTGCAAACTAGCGCCAATAACCTTCAGTTACAAAACAAGATGTTATGCAATACGATGTTAACTCAGGGGGATGAATACTGATGATAGCACACTCAGTTCTTTTTCCGTTAAAAAACATTGAAAGCCACACATAATTTGTGTTGGTCTATCACTTAAAATCCCATCAACACAAAGAGGTTTTGATTATAAAGGAAAAAAAGCTAAAAATTTCCAAGGATTTCATTGCTTCTGAAAGGAAGTGTTTGCATACCAAGCTAGACAGTGATATAACGTGCTGCAACAAAACAAATTCAATACATAAAAACAAATAAAATGTAACTTGATTATCTATCATGTTAGCCTGTTTATATCACAAGGTAGATTGCCTTCAGTTTTCAGATGTATGTACACTTTTAGCAACAAAAATCTGTATTTATACTGTATATAAGGATCAATTGGAAATAAGGAAAGTTGATAATTGCACTGACACTCAGTACAAGCTGCTCTCTTTCAGTGACCAACAAACTTATTTTCAGTGTGTGTCAGAACAGTCCACCCACAAAGCCACCTACACACACATGGACACACATTTATTTGACATCAACCTTATGCTAGCGGCTCTGTGTGTCAGTGACGCTGACAGTAAGCGAGGACTACAGACTAAAGGCTACTTAGACTGTATCGAAAGGACAAAAAGAAAAAAAAAAAATCACAGTTTCTGCAGCCAGTGAAATATTGCTCTGTTTGGTGTGATCACAGGGATTTGGACATGTTCAATACTAACACTTAAGTCGACCAGTGTTAGGTTATAGATACTTTGTATAAAGAATAAACTGAAAAAGAGTTCAAATGTAGACAGTACCCTTCATATTTATCAGTGCCCCTGGCGTAGATATACAATAATATAACAAAGAAAAGGTTGGAAAAATTCCTGCCCACATTTTTACTGCTTGTTTGTCCACCAATCAAGTGATTCACTGATGCTTTCCTTAATATCCACTTAAAGTAGTTATTGTAGAAAATTATCTGCAAAAATTATATTCTGTCTCAAAATTAGTAGCATAGGCACGTAAAATGTATTCACCACTGGCCCTTTACCCAGAACCAGCCGCTTTGAACTGATGAGACAAAGGCTATATCTCCACTGCAGTTTTTTGAGAGGCAGTATCACAGACTGCAAACCTACATGGCACTGCAGTCACCCATTTGCAGATGAAGATTTTACACACAGCCCCGTGCTTACAGAAATAAAGTAGTAGTATTTGCCTTCAAAGTTTCATTTGGAAAAATCATCACCAGCAGAAATGGTGTTTCAATACAGATTTGATTGAATTAAAATAATTGAATTAATTGGTTGGCCTTTACTGAAACAACAATAAACCGAGATTAAATACATGGACCTTAAACCTCAGCTTGATGCTATTTTAACCCACATTCAAAGAATGAAGATGATTCTTTGGGCTTTATCTTTTAAATAAATTTATGAATCTTGTAATTTAGATCCATGGTATGTTTTTAGAGTAAAATCTTTACCTCAGCATCTTAGTCCACTTACACCATATGCACTAGATAGGCAACAGAAAGTGGTCTCCATATATGATGGACATAGAGACACAGCTGAAACCTGCAGATCCTAAAAAACTTGCAGCCTTGCAATTAATAGTTATCAGCATATATTAGATCTGACAGACTTGTTTCCTTTATAGCTTTTCACCTTATCATTGTTCTCCTCTATTCAACAACACATTTATAAATCACACATGCAATCATGTAAAAGTCAGATTAGATATAATTTTTGGTAAAATTACAAAGCAATACCTATCTATTTGGCCACATGGAGCTAAGATTAAGATTATGGTCACTAAGTTTTAAAGGTTCATAATTCTACGTGGGTTATGCTTTTAAAAAAGTCATCTTTTTTTAGAAAGGAGCCCATACTAACCCCTTAGAGAGGTAAAAGGTGTGTGGTGCTTTTTAGAGTGCATGAAATCATCAGCTATTTGAAATGCCTGGAGGTTTTTAAATGTAAATATGGTGGCCTTTATACTGAGATACCAATAAAATCAGTTGTCTTGAGACCTTTAGCAGAATCATTTTGTTAAATCTTAAGGTACAATAAATGTAAAAGGGGTTCGGCAAAAAAAAGGCTTTTTCCATCGCCATGACAGTCCACTCAACACACAATGAAACTGTAATTTTTGTACGAAAATTAAGTATTTTTGTAAGGATGAAGGGTATTTTTGCATTACTGAATACAATTATTCCAAAAAGTTTAAGAATTGTTGCTGTGAAATGACATCACTGCAATAAATACACAAATACTTTTTAAGGCTTTTTACACGTCTCTATCGGGGTTGTAAATAAGTATGAAGGCGCTATTGATAAAAAAGCACAAAAACAATAATCTTAAAGAATCAGAGAGAAAAAAAAGTTCCCTTATATTTCCTTTCTTCCTATTCTCTTGGTTAATGCAAATTTTTCTATTTTGTTTTTTTGTTTTTTACAGTTTTAGCTAAACATTAAGACATTTTTGTTTTGGCATTTGATACAGTATCAGAGCACAAATGCCAGAATCAGGGGACAGCAAATACAGGCAAGTGGACATCTACCCAAAGACAACATAAGCTTGTTAGGATGAGGCATGTTTAAAAAAAAAAAATAGCTACCAATGTTCTATATGCATAGAACTCCTATGTAATAGAATCTGTTTTATTATTTTGGTATGAGTTATATTAACACTATGGATACTGAGCAGAGCAGTAATGCAATATAGTACACTTTAGAAAAATCAGCATGGAAAAGGCCTTTGCAAGAGACAGGGGTGCTGTAGCATACAGTTTAACAAAAGCGACACTTTTTTTCACTAAGTGGGAGTACGAGGGAAACAAACGCATGCTATTATTAGCTACTTCTACAAATATCTCTATGTACAGGCTCTTTACATGTTATAGCCAGGTTATCATTTCCTGTGCAACTAAGAAAAGAAACAGTGTTTATGTGCTTAATGTGTCAAAAACCCACATTGGCTGGTCTCAGTACTTTATATTGCGCACCAGCTTACTGTGTGGACATTAAAGAAATGGAAAGGTGCAAAATAAGATGCTTATCTACAGGGTATTACAGGAGTATTTACACCCTTTAAATGTGTTCTCCCATTAAAAAGCAGAAGCTTATTTTTTGGGGATTTTTATGTGTCAGTCCAACATACAGCAGAAGTGAATGGGAAGGAATAGACTGTATTAACAACGTTCATGCTTTAAAAGAGATAAGAATAAGAAATGATTTACTCTAGATAAAATCCTGCCTTCAGAAGACTCATATTTACCTGCCTGTCCTGTGTTGGCCTTTTTAAATTTGTTGAAGAAGATTAGTGAACAAGCAGCACCATGAGGACTAAGGAACACAGCAAACAGGTCAGGGAGAAAGATTAAATCAGGGTTAGATGATAAAGGGATCTCTAAACCATCTAGCCAAGCAATGTTCAATCCATGAATCTTAATATAAGAACAGCATTGTTGAAATCTACCAAGACATGGCTGTTCCACCACATACGGGTTGGGTGAAGAGAACATCGATTTAACAACTAACGAGAGGGTTTATTGTTACTCTTAAGTTGATGCAGAGAGCCAAAGTCCACAGGGGAGAATAAAGTGAAAGGACCTCCACTGGGTGTGCACTTCATAAATCTGCTTCTGATTGAGCCAAAGTAATGGTTGCAGTTTGTCACCTGGGATACAGGCTGATACATGTACATTGAGGGCATGGTAAGAAAAAGTATTTGAGTTACTAGGAAAACCACTGTGGCAGGCATACTTTAAAGTAACACTGCATGTCAAAGTTAGTTTTTCTTCAGTAGGTAATGGAAGCTGATCTGAGATAGTAGGAGGATTGATATGGTTAGTAAATACAGGACAATCCTTAACGAAGACCGGCTAAAGACTGATATGATCCAAAGCTCAAGCCAAGGTTCAACTTCACAGATGCTCTCTAGTCGATCTGACTAAGCTGGTGCAATTCTACAAAAGGAAATGGGTACATTTTCAGATATTTTTTATAAAACACTTAGAAGACTTCAATACCTCCCTTCCATTTCAAAATTAAGCCCCAATCTGAGCTGATCCATCAAATAAAATCCCAATATAATGTACAGTAAGGTATTCTAAGGATATAAAGGTCCAAGGGGTTCTAATGTTTTGTGAGGTCTTTTCTTTCTCAGTGTGTTTGAATCCGCTCTTACAGATTATAATGGCTGCCTACGGGGCATCATTTCTGCAATTTTCTCTAGCCGGCCTATTAACCAGTAATCAAAACAGTTTTTAATAGAGTCTTATGTATATATTTACACTCATTACTAGTTTTAAAGACAAGCAGGCTTCATGTGTGAGTCGAAAGCTTGACGGCTGATATATTTCAGCCTAAAGCTCAAGTTTAAGGAGACACAGTTTAATAATCTACCAAAATGTGAAAGTGCTGTACATGTTAGAAAAACACAAGGCAGCGCTCAGGAAAGGTAGCACACAGTCTGAATGAGATGATACTAATGCTGCAAGTTAAAAAGAAGCAGTCAGTGTCACCATGCTAGCAGCTAATGTACAATGTGCAGGAGTCAGTGGGAAATGGGAGTTCACAACGGGAGGTGGTTACTATGGGGGCCTTTAACCCTGCTCATCCATTGCCTCCGCAGCTGTGTGAAGCAAAGCAGAAGCTTCCCCATTGCAACGGGATGTGGGTTCAGCTGCCTGTGGTTCCGGGTTCAGCTCCTCAGATGAGGCTTCTCCCGTTGATTCTGCGGGTGGTGCCTGTTGGCTCTTTTCCTCTCCAGTGGGTTGCTCTGTGTTGGGACTGGGAGCAGCCTCTGGCACGGCAGCAGATGACGGCGCAGAGGGATCATTGGAAGCCTGGGGAGCTGAGGGGTCTGCAGGCACCTCAGCTGAAGGAGCAGTGGACCTAGCCTCGCTGTGCTCTGGGACTCTTAGTCTTTTCATGATGGTGGTGACTCGCACAGCTTTCTTTGGGAAAAGGAAATGTGAAAAATTATCCCTGAAAAGACGGCATGCATTCCCTCTAGTATCAATGATTACTCTAAATGTTTGGCACATAAAATGCTGAAACTTTTGCTATCTTACTGGAATTGCATGTGATTAAGCATCATAAAACAGTCAGTTACAAGTAGAAGGAGAATACATGGTTTGTAATTTCTTTACTTATAGAATCTGAAAGTATTGATGTTAATTTTCTTTAAGGGTTAGTGCTTTGTAGACTCACCCTTAGCTATAATTAGCGCTCTAATGGTTTGCTTGTCTTAAAACAGGTGCAAATGTGTTTGTTTGTGTGGAGAAGGCATTCAAAGAAACTGCAAATTGATTTAAGTTTTCAATTCAGCAGACAGCCATCCATTTTTGTTTATCAATATGCAGATTATATTCTGAGGAACAAACAAGTCCATGGGTGGAGGAAATGCGAATCTAAATGTTTGCCAAGTGCAAAGTGATTTTCCAAATTCGACTGGAGCAGCAGTTCTTTCATCCTTTCTACTGAAAATCAATTGCAAGCTGGCAGATTAAAATATCTGAAGTCACTTCAGATATTTTCCTGTCCTGTCCTGTCCTTCCTCTCCAGAACCTATGCAGATATGTAGCACCAGACTGAGTCCTGAGCAGAAGCAGCACTGCATACGGGCTAAGCTGTGTCTCTACTGTGGTGAGGCTGGTCATTTTGTTTCTGCCTGTCCCTTACTGTTAAAAGCCAGGGTCCACCAGTAAAGGTTGCTGGCGGACCAGAAGATTTCTTTAATTTCTCCTCGTCTACTTTTGCCTGCTTCACTCCATATAAATAACAAATCCCTTTCCCTATCAGCTCTACTCGACTTCGGCTGTGAAGCCACAAAGGAGGCAGTTGTATAAAGCTAGAGGACAGAAAGATTCTGTGAGCATGTGAACAAATTTGGTCATCAAACTCTTAGATTCTATGTTATATTTAGGTCTATATTTTTTATCACATAGATATACTTTGATAAAAGTCATCCCATGAACGATGTTGCTGAAGCAAAGTCTCCTTCTTGTTTTTCTTTAAATACAATCCTATATCGGAATCCAGTTATCTTCTCATAAAATATGTGGAGCTTTCCTGTTCCTTCTGAGGCATGACCACAGAATGATACCAATAATTTCACCAAAAGGATGAGTAATGTGCAATGTTTGCTTTACAACACACTGCCATGTCCTCTTTTAGATGTGGCTTTCTTTTTCATACGTTTACTTATTGGAACTCATTTCTGAAGGCAGGATCTATGTAGTACATAACTTTTACTGTAATGATTTCAATACCGAACCTATATTGTGAGTTTAAATCTTTGCAGCTGGAACCGCTTAGTGTCCCATCTTTAATAGTCTGATTTAAGACAGGAGTTACATCTTTTCTGTTTTGTTTTGGCAATCAAATATATTTCTAATAACACAGAAGAATGTGGATGTCATGAAGAAGTATGAAAGCTTTTGCAAGGCCCTATATTTGCCAGTAAGAATCATTCTTAAAGGCACTACAGCTAGAGTTGAAGCTTCAAAGCTTTGAAAGCATTTGGATGAAGAGAACAAAATGGCTCACCTTCCATTTAGCTCTGGCAAAGTTCTTTTCAATTTGTGCACAAACATTTTCTTTGATGTTCTTATCTGAAGCTGCACCACCAGAGATCCTGCAGAATGCAGAAAGAGATTAAAAATAAGAGGTTACCCTCACATCTGAGCAGTACTGTCAGTTTTTATGGCTAAAGGGAGCTGAAAAAAATCATTGCAGCTCATTATAACAGGAGGAAAACTATTCCATAAACACATGCATACTTAAGGGTTATTCTTAATTGGTTTCTTTTAGTGTTTTCCTCCCTGGTCTAGTACATATTGTAGCACAGCTAATTAAAAACATAAAGTTTGTTGAAAATAAAACTTAACAGATCAATCAAACCCTCAACAGTAACAGTATTCAGATTGGACAGGATAATTAATATTATTTTTTAAATTTTGAACGTTTGTTCTGATGAGATCTTTTTAACTATGCAGTCTGATTTATACTGAATCTGTGCAATATATCAAAGCTGCTCTGTCTACCATTCATGGTTTATAGCCTCCTGGGCCGTCAGCCTCTGGTCTTGATCCACCTCCATCAAACGAGCAACCAGGTTCTTAGCTGTCAGAGAAATGACACATGGAGGAAGGAAAATGCGTAAAGGGTTTACTTCCTGACAGGATGAAAACACAAATATAAGTGCTTTGAAAAGTCAACAGGAAGGAAGAGAGAAAGATTCCTTTTAAACGTGAAAAGCGTTTATATGAGAAGTTGCCACAGAAAGTACCTGAATCAGAGATTTCATCCCAGTAGGGAGAGTCAAACTCATAATCGCCTGCAAGGATTTTTCGAAACAGATTCTTGTCATGGTTTTCATAATCGTCATCATCGGTTTCATCATAGAAAGGAGGGTTTCCGGACAGACTGTAGATAAAAAAGAAACAAGTGGAGGGGGGTAGGAGGCGGCAAATAGTTTTGGTTCAAATAAATCTTTGCAAGATTCAGTAAATCAATCCCAACTCAGGATGCTTCCAACCAACATGGATGCAGAGAATCAAACATCAGTTTTTACATTAGGCCTGACCAACTCATTCTAATTCTGACCAACTGTTTTTTTTTTCTCACAATCAAAGGAGAAAACAAATATACTGTATATTGGTTAACATCTACTGGTTCAACAAAAAAAAAAAAAACAAAAGAAAATAACAAAACTATTTCTATTTTTGTATTAATGTGTACATTACACAAACATACAAGCCCAAAATTACATTTTGTTAACAGTTTTATCAGATGCTGGTGAAGATTCTTAGTCATCCAGGTCATAGTTATTCCAAAATAGTTAAAAAACAATCCACTGGACTTTGTTTCTAAGTTGAAGACGTTTCCCTTCCCATCCAGGAAGCTTTTTCAGTTCAAAATGTCAGAATCAGCATTTAGTTTTATCAGATTTAACTCTAAAGGTTTCATTCAGCCTAGAAGTACGTTTCTGTTGAAATATTACAAAGAATAAATGTCTCTTTTTTTTTATAATCTTTTTTTAATCTATTAGTTAAATCTATTTTAAAATGGCAGGTCAAACAATATTTATGCCCTTTCTTTTAAGAAAAATAAATAAACTTTTATTTTCATTACAAAAATCAAAGTCTTCTATAATTGTTGACCAGTTTTTGAAAGTTTCTGCTGTGTTATGTATTCAAATTATAAGAGCTGATTCGGATGCCTGGCTGATGGTTTGTTACATTGGGTTTACATGTTAAAAATGTCCCTATCTGTTGAATGAAGGGATAACTTACAGTATGTACATGATGACACCTATTGCCCAGCAGTCAACAGGTCTCCCATATCGCTGCCTGCCGACCACTTCAGGAGCTGCATAGGTAAACACAAACACCATTAATCACCAATAATCTGCTGCCAGCTTATTTCTTATTTACCTATTTTTTTATCCTCACCCAGGTATTCAGGTGTTCCACAGGGGTCTTTGATTAGTCCGTTCTCCAGCTTGGCCAGGTGGAAGTCACTGATGACGATTTTGGAGTGCTTTAGACGGTTGTAGTACACCAAGTTCTCCAACTATAAATTAAGAAAATTAGAAAACCTCACAAAGAACTAGGTCTAATGCTTGACATTATTGTTTAGCTGAATTTTTAAGTAAATCAATGACAGAAGGAAGCTTGTTTAACCTTCATGGTTCAGGTTGAACATGCTAATGTTCATAAGCCTTGAGGCGGCCTTAACTATTCCTTTGTCTTGATAAATATAAATAAACTTTTATTTGAATTACAACAATCAAAGTCTTCCACCAAGATTTCTGCCATGATTTTGACAATTTATTCTAGTTGTTTATGTACTTTTTGGATCAAAAATACTAGAAGCTCTTAGTTGAGCTGATAAGTAGTGATTCTTATCTCTGGCTGATGGTTTGTTGTGCTTGGATCACATGTTAAAAATGTTCCTATCTTTTAAATGAAAGGATAACCTACAGTATGTACATTATGAGACCTATTGTCAAGTAGTCAACAGGCCACATTGGAGAAATTTTTGGAATGTTAGATAAATGTTTGCCTTACTCCAACTCAATCTCCTGAGAACGTTTTTTTTTTTCCACAGGAATTTTTATGTGTTAAAACGATATCTCAAAAAAACTCTATAATCAGTGTAATTCTACTAATTTCTTACTAGATATGCTAAGAGCTACAAGACAGCTGATGAACATAATAAAGAAAGTTCAACATTGAAAAACAGGCTATTATTCTGACACTCCAAGTAAAAATGGTTAAATCTAGTTTGGTTGAACTACTCTTTAGAACTGATTGCGGTTTTCTGAAATAAAAAATATCTCTTGATGTCGATACAGTCTGAGATTTCAAAAGATCTTGAAAGGGATAAAAAGATACTATAAAGACTGCTAACAATAACCTAGCATCCCCACATACTAAAAATTAGTTCTTCAATAAAGCTGGGTTACAAAAAATAATTAAAATAAATTTAAGAAAAAATGCACTTATTAAAAAAAAAAAAGTTATTTAGATTTACAATTTTTGCACTGGATTTTCATTTAGAGGTTTTGCAGCAGCAAATTTTGCCAGTTGCAAGTTGTCAGTTGCATGTGCTGGCTGGTAGAATTGGAACCATTGCGGTCTCAAAATCATTCACACGGCTTTGTGTTAGGCATCATACACATGTCACCACTTTGTGTTACCTTTAGGTTTCTGTGAACGATGTGCAGGGAGTGAAGGTAAGCCACCGCCTCCAGCACCTGCCTCACTACATTGCTAGTGTCCCGCTCCGAGTAATAGCCTTGATCCAGAATCCAGTCAAACACCTCTCTGCCTGTTGCACTGTGAAAAGGTAAGAGAACAGCTCAGCAACTGATTGCATGTTTGTCCACTTCTGGATAAGTATTAATTCAACTATTCTTTTCATTTTTGCACAGTTCGTCCTTCAGCAAATAGAGGAAGGGATAAGTAAAAAAAAAAAAAAAAAAAACATTTAGGAAAAATACAAAAAATAAATTCTGCTATGAGAAGGTATCTTTTGTCTTTCCAAAAATGGTGAGGAATCCATCTGGGAACTGATAATTGGAATTTCCCTTAGGATTACTCTGTTTGCTGAATATTCAGCATAATCAGAATCCCTCAAGCCCTGTCAGCGGGGAGAAAAAAATCATTTCCACATTTGGAAGTTCCTCAGAAATTAATCTGATTCCCAAAGAAAAAAAACTAGTTGAAAAGAATGGATCCTTGGGCGATCACATCTGAATACCAAATGAGGCCAAGCTGAGAGCTGCTCTCGCATCTTCTGGGCCTTGAGCAACAACGGCTCATTCCCCAGGAGCGTGTGATCAACAGAAGCAGCTCAGGGCCAAGCTGTGGCAGACACAAGTTTTTTTGGTTTTTTTTTCCCAGGCACGTCAGACATGTAAACTCACAGTTCAAGGAAGAGGAAGTACTCTTTTTTGGTCTCAAAGGCATCAACCAGTTGGAGGATGTTGGGATGTCTCACCCTGAGGAAAGTGTGTCAAAGCAGACAAAGAAGAAAAGGAAGAAATGTATGTCATTCAATTACATTAATAACCAAGGTGTTGAAACTGAATTTGAACACTTTATTTATCATATTGCAACAAAAAATGCAGCATACTTCCGGTAATGGAGCTCACCAGGCATGTACCAGTGAAACCAAAAGAGGCTAACCAAAAATAAGAACTTATTATTATCCTATCTTAAGAGTCTATGGATTGTTGCCTTCATAACTGCAGAATATGATATGGAAAGACTAAAGCTGTGTTGGAAATGCCCGCCCTGTTCAATGAACCCTATGCATCATTCAGTCGGAGCAGAGTTGCGATTTAGGACATTTATGTGTCATTATGGCTGTAAGTCACCCCTGTTTCCTAACTGTGGTTAACACAGCAGGAGGTTTACAAAAGGCAGAGGATAGAGGGATCTATGGAGCCTTTCAAAAATCTTCTGTCCCCTTGTACCTTTTTTTACATTTTGTAATATTGCACCCACAAACCTCTGTGTTTCAAATGAAAATAGAAAATGTTCGTGGTGAGTAGAAAATGAAGGCTAATCATGTTTTGGGTGTACTATTCCTTTAAGCAGAAAGAAAGTCTCACCTTTATCTCTCTGTCAGCAATTCTTTTATATTCTCTTATTACTTACTAAAATGTATATTTAGAAAAACGCATCAGTTAAGGAAAAAACATTTTAACCAAAATCAAAAGCAGTCACTTACATTTTCAAGATAAGGATCTCATTTTTGGCCGCCTTGCGTACTTTTCTCCCATCTTTTTTAAGGAATTTTTTACATGTGTACATTTTCATAGTTGCTTTATCCTTGGCCCTGAAGATCTCACAGAACTCCTCCCTGAAAGTTGAATAAATAAAAAACTATGAAAAAGTAACAATCACATAGCATATGAACAGTGAGGCAGATTAAACAATACTCACGATTTAACAATCTGGCCCAGGTCATATTTATCTGTCACATCCGAAGGATTGTGATATTCCTTCTTTTCCCCAATCGTTAAACAGCCAAATGGCATGGCCACACCCAATCTACAGTAAAACAAGCATAGAGACAGAAGAGAGGACGACATCAGAAGAAGACAACGTTCCCTTTTTGACTGTCTCTTCAAGCTCAAACTGTGCTGTAATGCATCAGATGATGACTTTTATTGCTGAGAAAGATATTAGAAAGTCTAGGACCTGTAAGCCAAAGGCAGCAATTTTAATGCAGAAATGTGTTTCATTTAACTTTTCCTAACAGAGCTTTTCATGATGCTGTAATAGCAAAACACAAGAAGATAACAGCTTCACCGTCTCAGCTCTTTGCAATCGTCTTATTCTAAAAGTCGAACAAATTTCCCTCAGTGGGCTGACAGTAACACAAGCAAGCAGTGAGGGAGCAGGAAGTGCAAGAAAATATTCTTATATGCTTACTGTAGCATCAATAATGTATTTATAAACCACTGAAAAAAAACCCTGAAAAAGACGGATATAAATGGGAAAAGACCTACATAATATGTCCATCAGGGAGGCATTACATTATGGTCATTTACAGACATGAGAAAATAATTAATTAATCTTCTTTCATTTTTTCAGTCTATATTTCATTGTAAATATTTTTGGTTGAAAGCACTGTGTCAGTTAATAAAAATTGCATGTATGTGTTTTATAAAAGTTCTATCAAATCCTCTGCTAGAGCATTTAATTCAGTTTAATGTTTGCATTTTAACTAGTCCATGCAACATTTTAATTCTTCTCTTTTTCTACCACCCTAGTGTAGATGTGTTGCACTGCTCAGGTTTAACACCCTGTTGGTGACTCAGATTGCCTAAGAACTAGCCTCAGATTTGACGACCCTCTCAGTCATAAGAATCCTATGACTGCAAGATAAGCCCAAATCATTACATCCTTTTTATCACTGACTTATTTTAACAGAATCTCTAAATACACAACTGACTACCTATAACTGGCTAACCCAACAGTTAAAGTCAGTTAGTCTCATTTAACCCCACCCTTCCTTACCTTCAAACCCTTCTTACTTCATCTCTATTCCTCCCTTTCAACTCATCCTAATCACTCAGCATCTCATCTTTCAACATAGAGGTTGTAGCATCATGCTAAGAGCTGATCTTCTTCTGGACATACAATTAAGCTGATGTGAAATATCGACCAAGCTAAATACAGGAAAACCCTTGGCAATCTAGAAATAGGGCATGACTTGAAAATTAATGCTCAGCAGCACTCTAGCTCCAATCTGTCTAATCCTACAAAGGGACTCCAAAAAATAAAAAATAAAAAAAGCAAAGGTTGTAGTTCCATCATAGGAAAAGGAGTATAAACGGGTTTTATTCTTTTTCCGATGGCATGTTGACATTCCCTGTTTTCAGTACATGATTCTCATTGAAAATTTGAATGGGTAAAAATCTTCCAAAGCATTTTCAGTGTTTGTAGCAGGGTGCTGGCCATGACACGTAATGAAAGCACCATAATGGGTCCACTTAAATCGACCACCATCAGAAACACTGGAGCATTATGTTCTGACTGCTGTCTGCCCCTCAGGAGTGCCAGCCAGTGGTTCTTAATGCTTCACGACTCAGTATGTTAACCAGTCTATCTGCAGGAACAGCTCAGTCCTCTAAGCCACATCCATATCAAGTCTCTATAGAAATGGTAAGGATGACGGCTGGTGGGAAATGTTAGGGACTCCAGGCAAAAACAGCACTCACAAAAAACAGGTTTTCTTTGCTGTCTGCTGACATCAGTTGAAAACTCTTGCATTGCTTAGCAGTGTTTAGGATTAGAGCAAATGTAATGCAAAATATGCACTGTGTCAAGATTTTTTTAAAGCAGCAGTAAGAGGGATTAATTTACCTGCAGCTAAGAGTATAATATAAATGCACCTTATAGGAATAAGTTGTACCTCTAGGAATGGTAAGCCTCTATGCAAAGAAGCAAATTGCAGAACTAATCTGATGAAAGGGAAATCCTCTAGAATTCAGAATGTTTCCCTGTTATCAGAGAGCAGGTGACTGTTTACAAATTTAGGTTACAAAAACTGTATGTGGTAATTTGGTAACACCTAAGTGCTATACTGATACATTTGGATTAATTATTATCGAGGGAAGTGCAATTATTTTTATCGCTTTGTTTTGTTACTGTATTGTGGAGAATCCGTACTAAATTAACATCTCTGTTGGATAATGTCTCCTACGCCATGCATCAAGTTGCTGCTGAACTGGAAAGCTCCTTCAGTGACAGACTGCTGCCCCCTAAATGCACCTCGAAGCGTTATTACAGATCCTTCCTCCCAGCAGCTGTAAGACTTTAAAACCACCACTGTTCCCAACAACCTCAATAAGTTGTTACCTTCATGGTGAATTTTGCACAGTTTCTATCTTATTCAGTTCAATAACATGCTTCTGCCATTGTGCACATCTCTGATGTTGTTGCTATTTGTAAATGTCCATTTTGTAAAAACGTCCACAGTTGTATATCGGTTATTTATTCTCCAGGTGTACAGTATTTATGTTGTTAAAACACTTTACAGTACAGTATTGTATTTGTTTATTTTTTAGCTCTTCAGTATTATGTTATTTTTATACACTCTTCTAAGGTCCACATTTGTGTGACCATCCCAATAAAGGGATTTTCTATTCTATTCTATACTTTTAACTTTGATTTGTAAACCTAACGGAAAAGTGCTGTGAATCAGCTTCTGCTATATGATGCTGCTCTCTGATACAGACATTAGACTTCTGTATAACAGTTTGCCTATACTGTTGTGTCTGTCCCTATCATATAAACTTAATGAATTAATAAACATTGACAGATGTAGTGGAACAATTCAGGCGGCTGACTATGCTAAAATCCTTCTAACTGCATGGCTGAAAAGTTTTTTTTTAAACAGTTTGTTCTATGCTGTGAGATTTTATGTAATTTGCCAAAACAAAGTGTCAATCTGGCAAAACATAAGCATTTTGTGCAACACTAATTTCAACTAATGTCATTGGATGTACCTTTGAAGCTTTTTGCTTACATTTAAAGTAGACATGATTTAGTGATTCTTTTTACTTCAACAATTTAATCATGAATACATATTAGGGTCCTTATAGTATTAGAAAAGCCAAAACAATCAATTGCAAAACTGGACTTCATAGTGTTTAAGTCCTTTAAATGTTCTCTATAAAAGGTGCTTGTTCAAGTAAGCTCGTCATTTATTTTAACAGATCTAGAAGCAGGCTTCAGGAGTATAACCTCAGCCCCTCTACTTATTGAACCGCCTACCTGGGATTAGATGTGACCTTAGCTCTGCTTGGAAAGCTTCAGCTGCTATTACAAAACAAATATCTTGGACATTAATTTGCTTTAATACCTTCTGATTTCCTGATATTTCCCATGATAGCATTTTGCCTAAGGCTGAAAAGAAAATAAGGTCAGGACACACACAAGCGTGGCAACAGTCACATTAATCTCTGCAGTGGATAGTCAAAGATGGATGTTTCTCACTAACTCTGCTATTATAGGAAAGCAGCTCAAGGAACCAATATTGTACCTATTGCCACAGGGGCAATACATTTGAATGATTTTATTTATTAAAGGAGAATATATATATATATACTAAAACCAACCCTATCCCTTGTGAAATGCAAGTACCCCCATAACCTAAGAAACTGTTTTAACATCCTTGAAAATGAAAGCTGCCACCAATGGCTGCTTTGGATCGCTTACAGCGCTTCTTTGCAGTATTCCTTTGAAAGAGACACACCCGAAAGCAGTCAAGGAACATGTTGTGGTAATGTCATACCCTTACTGTGGTTTCTAATTTCAGAAATTGACTTGGCCACTCTAAAGCTTTAGTCATGTTTATCTAGAGGTTGATTTTCTGGGCCATGTTTAAGAAAGAGAGATAAGCGAGAACCCAAAATAAGTCCTCCCATAAATCCCAGTATATCCCAGATTTTTGGTTTCGGAAAGCAGGAAAGCCATTATTTTGATTTAGGTTTATACTGCAAGTTACTCCGTGAACCAACTCTGGTTTGTAGCAGGATTTCTTGAGGTTATCCCAAGTTTGGTGCATATTTGAGCTGAGATCAGACACAAGAAAACCTTAAGATATGGTGTGTCCTTTACCGAAGAAGCTTTTAATCATTACGCCTCATGAGATAAGATGCATTTTTAATACCAATTCATAGATTTCTTTTAGCATCATCATTTTCAATAGCTTATCTCCATAACATTTCAGTCACAGATGACTCATTTGAAATAAAAAGGAAATGTTATTTTTGCTGTACTTTTTTTGCTGAGGGTGAATAGTTAGGGATTTGGCATTAAAGAATTACCATACAGCACATCATCTATTACAACATCTTTAAAGTGGCCACATGGATTCAAATCCTGACCTATATGTTGAAGCATTTTTTGAATAATTTTGTAATCAATTATTGAAAAGTTGAGGTTATCTGAGAATTACAGACAGAAAAGCTCCAAAAAGCTATATAAAAAAAACTGAGCATTGAAGAGTAATTAGCTTAGCTAGTAATTGCTAGTAATTAGCTAGTAATTGTTTAAATCTCTAAAGAAGAGCCATAGACCCATTTCACAACAGCTGAATACAGAAATTTTAGGATAATAAATAAAGTCAGGCTTGACCAAATTTCGATCAGTGCATCCTGGCCTTATTCCTTCCACAAATGCCAAGCCAGGCATTACAGTTTTGGCAATTTGAAATTAATTCCAAGGAAACAAGATAACTGTCGGTCTGTAGTTTTCTTCAAGAATCTGTGATGTCAGTTAAAGATTTCCTGATTTGACATACATAATCTATTTTTCATCTTCAGGTAACCAATTGCAGGATTCTCATCTTTAGAGCAAATTATGTTTTCATCAATAGTAAAAGGCATCTGTATCCCGACTCACAACAAATGAAAGGCTGTGTTGTCTTAACCAGAGTGCCAGGATATCTTGGAAAGGTTATTAGTTATATTCTTCCACTGAATGCTTCATCATGATGTTTTTCAAATAAGGAACAATCCTTTATGTCCCTCTTGGTC